GCGATATGTATCATTCCTAGTGGGATGCCTAATTAAGACAATTGTTCATAAACTTTGTCAAATTTAGAGAAGTTTGATTAGTTGGACGAATCAAAATGAGACTTGTAAGTCCGTACACAGAGTACTAGGACAATCATTAGTAGCTCAGTCATTTTGTTGAACCACAACCTATCCGCACTATAATCTCCCACCTAATTTCCCTTTTTAATTGTGCTCAAGCATGTCATCTAGCATAGAGGATGTCAGTGCTTGTATTAACGCTACCCATCAACCACAGTTGGGCGTTGTAGTTGCAAGATGAAATTCAAATATTACGCTGCATGCAGCAGTCAAAATGCTACAACTGCCCCAGCAATATAGATTGAATAGCTAGCCTTGATATCGCACACAGACTTGTTCATACTCTACCCACTAAAACATATGAGCTGGTCACAAAATAGGGCAAAACATCACCAAAGTACCGTAAGTGTGTTAGATTGGATTATTGCACACTACTACTTAGCCTATAAGAGAAAAATCTTCATTACGTTATATCTGAAACAGAAAGCACAAGCTTTAAAATGTATGATTCATAACTGGAGAAAGTGTGACACAACACGCTCCATCATAAAGACATGGAAATTCATTCCATTATACAATAAGACTACACAAAATCAAGTACTATTTATTTAAGAAAAGTGGTCGAAATGAAGATGCTAACGATATTGCTAACGATATTATCATTGTTATTTCTATTACTCTAAAGATATGGAGCAAACGAGGAACTGATGCTTGTACCAGGTGCTGGACAACAGATTGAATTGCTTGCAAGTCAAGCAACGCAAAGGCGTCGCACGCGGGCATTAATTCGATCCTACTTGTCTATTTGAGTTAGATACGGGAGGGATGGATGGATGGACAAGAAATTTTACTTAGCAGTGCTCTTTTGTGTTTCTTTCTGGCCGCATAGGATTACGTATCCAGGAAAGAATCAGAGTACACCGACAGTACTGTTTGAGATCGTAGGTGAATGGAGCATAGCATCGGACGCACTGTTCACGGAATGTGCACTTTATGCTCAGCTTCGTGGGTGCAAATCTGCCCAGTAGTTAACACCGAGCTGCTAAGAGTTTCTTCTGATAAATGAAAACTTGAATCGAAGTACACCGACAGTACTATTTTCTTGCGAGACTAAAGCAAGCTGCCGTGCATGATCACCAGAGAGATTGCAACCGTCACACGTACTCCTATTTTTATCTACTCCGGATATTAGCTTTGACCGAAGTTAAATTTATAAGGTTTGAAAACAAAAATAAGGGATGGGGTAGTATGTATACTCTTGAGCCCGGTCACTTTGCCCATCTCCCACCTCAAACGTTTCTGCTCCGGTGCTCCCCCTAGGCTGAACGCGGGGTGGAAAAACACATCGACGGCCAGGATGAACCAAAAACGGTTCATAACGAGGGGCACGATCGTCTTTGTTGCCCCCGCTTATAGCCGTCGAGGAGCCCTGGGAGGCCCGTACGGGCCCGGTTAGATCGTATGCCCGGCCGTATACGTATGCCCGTCCGTATACGTATTTGTTTGTATACGGCGGCCTTTCGTGCACGCGTGAAGCCGCCCGCGTGTGGGGCAGCACGTGTCA